AGAAATTCTCATTTTTTGTTGAAATGTTTGATCTTTTCACCAAAATAAAGCCCCCCAAACACTCAGCTCCTGACCATGGAAAATTTCTATATTTTTATGAAAACCCAAACAATTGTGATGAAAACGGAAATGTATTGAAAAAATTCTATCCGCTCAAAAAGCCATTTTCCATCAACGAAGCTTTTCGATAGAAGATTTATGACCCTTCTGTCTCTGCAGATACTCCTCCCTGCCTTGCTAGGTGGGCCCCATCTCTGCTCAGCTCTCCTGCTTCTCAGAGCAGCATCCCACAGTTGAGAAAGCTGAAGCCCCCCTGGTGACCCCATGTGCGCAGCCAAGCATTCACCTCCATTCACTTCTCACATTCTAATCACTAGGCAAATGTGATGACTGGTTTGCTGGAGTAGAAGTGAAAGCCGAGTCCAGCCCATTAAGAATATAGCGAAGGCGGCTTATTTGTAGTGGCTCTGTTGACTGATAGTACATTTGCCTTCTCCCTATATTGAGTAGGAACCTAATAGGTCTAAGCAGCCTCTGCACTGGGTGCCTTCAACTCCCACAGACTAACAGGAATTGAAGGTGCTGAGCTGAGCACCCCACAGGATCAGGCCCATATTTCTAGGTTTTTGGGGGGGTTATTAAATCTAAAAGCATCCACCCGCTTTGTATCTCGTTTTAGGCATTGGGTAGCCCTGGTAACTTGTGCTTTGGGGGCACGTTGAGATGTTCCATGCTGGGAGGGGTGCAGGAGTTACGAATTAGACTTTGACTGGACTGTGAAACAGAAACGTCAGACGGATCTGGTTTCCTCTGAATAAAGGTGGTTGAAATAACACATTCTAAAAATGCCACCCCCACAGAATGAGACCGCTCAGCTGCCACGAGCTCAGGAGGAAGTGAAACAGTCAAGAGAAAGGAAGTCCGAAACAAAATCCATTTGTCAGTATGTTTTAGATTCGAGAAAACACAGAGCCCTGCCTTCATTGAGACCGCACCGTAAATGCAGATAGCTACCTACAGTCCACATTCTGCTGTCTGAAGAAAGAACCGGGACCATGAGGAGTTTCCTTGTCTGGGCTTGGATTCTTTTCCCAGGTGAGACGGGATTCTTTATGTCAATAGATATAGACCCAGGAGGCAGACCTGCTCCCATTGGGGCAATAGGAGCTGTGGCTGCTACACATTCCTGCAGTCAGGTCCCCCACCCAAGTGCCTGACGTTAGGCACAGGTTTGAACAGATGACATCAGAGAATGTCCTAGTTTAAAGCCAACCTGCAGGAATCCCCATGGACCTGGAGAAAATGTCCTACCTAAAAGCCAAAACAGTTCAATGCTGCAGTGGGTTGAAGTGGTTTGGAAGATCTCATAAACCAGGGCCCTTTTAGTACCACAGTTTCTCCATTGAGATAGGGGGAGGAATTACCCCCTAATAATTGTACCCTACCCTGCCACTGATGGCTCCGGAGGATTGTCCTCTAACTTCTCTTAACACATTTTCCTCTCCTCCCTCAAACCGCATTCGGAAAGTTGTTTTGAGAAGGAATTTCACTGCAGTCAAGTGCTCTGCAGATGGTAGTAACATCCCCAGTGCAGTCACTTCCAAGGGGGATGCAGACTGGTTATGCACCTATTTTTTGTTTGCTTGCTTTTTAAATAGCATTGCAAGGTTGGGTTTTCAATGTCACATATGTGACACAGGAGAACAAGTGGCACTGAAAGGCACTGGGACCTGGGCTCCTATGTCACTTAGACACCTGACAAACCTGACCAATGCAGTGAGTATTTCTATCTGAAAAGTCACAAAAGGAGAACAATAGCATGATTTGGGGGGGGGGGAGGGTGGGAGGACAGGGGGGAGATTAGAAAAGAGCCAAGACACTCACCGTGTGTAAAACTACTGCAGCCATCATTCAGATGGACCAGGGCACTCTCACAAGCAAACACTTTAGTCTCCGTGGAAATCTCTTAGAGGTTGGCTTTGGGTACCATACTGGGGAGCGGTGACCTGCAGTTTGGTGGTGGTAACTGAACACCATTGCATATTAATGTGTAAATGATTCATTTGATCACAGAGATGACTGACAAGTGTGATGCCCATTGCCAAGCATCAGGTGCCCAACAGAGTTTGTTTCATAGTCAGTTTAGTCTTCTACTTTCTATGTAACATAGGTCCTTGTGACCTTGCCTGCTCCCTCCACCCGTCCCAAAGGTTAACTAGGGCAGCAGTGGGTTCCCCTCCATGATCAGAAATGATGCTAATGCCATAGTTTAGCTGATCTCAGCAATGTCAAGGAGGCTCTCCAATACCCTGCCCACAGGAGTGTCTGAGCACGTGAAAGGAGGAAAAGCATGTAGAAGATTTTCAGACTCTCCTAAATTGGTTAGTCATTCCCCCCGCTCATATAATAAAGTTGTGGGAAAGCTAAGTCAGGGAATCGTCTGTGGCATTCTCAGGTTCACGGTGCTACATGAGCAGGCGCTGTATTTTAGAAGGACACTAACAGAGAAAGCAGAAGGGGGATTTTTTATGTTTCTCTTTGGCTTTGGCTTTATATGGGGGTGGGGAGAGGAGGTGAAGTCCCAGATGATTCCATCTCCCCACTACCCCACACTGGGAACAAATCGCCTTATATCTATTGGCTATTCATCATAGTCTTAAGCCCCACCTCCTGCATTACTGTAGCAGTTGGTTCTCAAATGCGGCCACCACGGCCGCATGTGGCCACAAGGGGCTTTTCATGCAGCCACGGCCTCCTGGGCGGTGACCGGGTGGGAAGGAGGGGGGCAAAAGCAGTGTTAACAAACATACAGATATCACTTTTCACGGAAACAGACTTACTAGCTGGCAAGTCCTAAAAAATGCAATGAAACAAGCAAAAGAAACAACAACAAAAGACAAGAACACGCAAAGCACCTGTTTTGTTTCTATTCTATTTAGATCCAGTAAAGAATAGAGACAACTGTACATTATTTGTATTATTGAGTCTGCAATAAAAACCTACCTAAATGTATTACAATGATTTGGACATAAATATGTGAATATTTATTTCTTTTTCCTAAAGTTAATTAAGTACTTTAGGAAAAAGTGTCAGGACGGCCACCAGCAAGTTGGTGGCTGCATTCAGAGGCCACCAAAACATTTCTTGTGAGACCTATCCTCCCAACACCCCTGTGAGGCAGGAAAGCCCCATTACCTAAGGCCTAGGCTATCAGCTTTCACCACCTTACATCCACTACAAAGCAGCCGTCTCCTTCCACACAGGAATATCCATGCACAAAAGCTTGGTATGGCTAACTAGTTCTGAACTGTGTCTCTTTGTCACTGGTTTTTGCTCAGCAGGAAAGCAATGAAAGCAATTTTGTCTTTTGCAGGCTGTTGGGCTCTGACCGGCCCTAGGGAGGTGAGCGGTCCCTTGGGAGGGTCGGTGTCTGTGCAGTGTCAGTACGATGGGTGGTACCAGAACTATAAGAAATACTGGTGCAGAGGAGAAGACCGGTCATCTTGCTACATAGCTATTCAGACCAACAGTTCAGAGGCAGAGGTGGTAAAGGACAGAGTCTCCATCCAAGACAATCACACGCAGTTCACTTTCACTGTGACCATGGGGAGCCTGGCACTGGGCGACCAGGATATTTACTGGTGTGGGATAGAGAAGAGCGGCTTTGACAAGATGTTTGCTGTCAATGTGTCTGTTTTCCCAGGTAAGTCCTTTAAGTGTGGGACGTGTTATGCCAGTCACCCAGCACCGTGAGCAGCGTGACTGCTGCTAAGCTAGGAGTCAGCACCCTGCAACACCAGCTTGTCTACCTGGCCAGCACACTCCTGAGGACTCTGCCAGTCCAAACCTTGCCTGGCAGGTAGCAATCAGTGAACCGCAATTCCCGAGTTCCCAGAGATGGCTCTTTGCAGCCGCCAGGTCCTCTCACTGGACACTCACAGAAAAGTTATTGCGTTTGCTGGCTCCAAAGAGACAGAACACACACCAGACTGTTAGTTTAGCTGAGGACTTCACCTCTCAGTTTAATACACAGCCCTGTGCTGGTTTTGTAATAAAACCAGAGTAGCTTTGTTAACAAAGAACAGATATGTAGGTGATATAAGGAAGAACAGAAGACACAAGTAAAACAAAACAAAAACACGCTTTCTAGTGACTGAAACTTAATTCAGCAAGTTACAATCTTTGTCTAAGAAGGTTTCTCACCTATAGTCAGTTCCCAGAGACATCAACCCTCTTGGCTGAAGGATCCACCTTTGTCCGATTACCAAAGCTCTGGCCTCTTGTGTCCCATGAGTGATGGATGCCAAAATGCCTTTCTGCTTATATTTCCCAAAGTCTATAGTCTCTGTTTCAAGTGGCAGGAAGGTGTCCCAGGGGTGCAGGCTCCATCCACACTCATGATTGTTAAGCGGTCTCCACCCTCCCACCCCCCGCCAGTCCCTTGTTAAGCTTGATGGTGCATTGTTTACCTTATATGTAGATGTACTTTCCATTGTTGTCTGCGGTACCACCTAGCTTAGTTCAGATTGGAGACACAAACAACATTCCTTTCTCTGGGACAGGCTGGGCTGATGCACAGGTTGCAAACCACCTTTTAAGAACATATTTTTCAGCACATGTCTATAGTTCTTTATACACTGCCTATACCTCCAGCACGCAATAATATTAATGAGCAGTGTGTTACCAGTTTGCATAGGATACCATATATGACAGAGTCCAGAGACAGATTCTGACAACAGTGTGTCGGGGCAATGAGTGTGTCGTGCCTGACATGAATTATGGCCTGAGGTTCCCTGTGCCAGATGGGACTGAGGGGCTCCCTGGGTCACAAGTGGCTCTTGTCTTGACCAAGGACACGTATTTGATGAATAGAGGGGTCTTTATCCAGACATGAACTATCCAACTCTGTTAATCTTCTATCACCCCTTTCACAACGTTGAGAAACTCACACTTGTTTCCTAGGTTTTCCCAGGCAACTATCTGATTCCCCGCCCCCCCCACATCCCTCATGCAGGAGATGGAATTAGTGCTGGAGGATGCAGCCTCACATTACATCTGCCAGTTCTTACTCGGGCAAAACTCCCATTGAAATTCATGCAGTCTGCCTGAGTGAGGACTGCGGGATCAGATGAACAGTTAGACCCAGGATCAAGACAGGCCCAGGGAGGTGGGACGGAGGGGAGATAAGCGAGTAGTTTTAAATGCACCCGATTTGCAAATATTTGTGCAAAGTAAGGGGACGGAAAAAGAGACTTTGCTATGAATGAATTATTCATGAATATTTGGCTGCCACCTGGATACTTACGACAAAAGTTATCAATCCTAAACAAGTTTCATGACTTTTAGCAGAGATGCTTGTTAGTCCCAAAAGTCACATTTTACAGGAATTCTTCACTATTTGTTATTAGCTAGTCTCACACTGAAAATTGTTAAAGTCATCCACTGAGAAGGTAGGGGCCAAGATATTCCTGAGGTCTGTGTTAGGTAGGTTATAAAATAAATAAAGGCGGTCATTCCGTCCTACAGCGAACAGTGCAATCTCCACCAGTGGGTGTCAGAATGGACCGGAGAAGAACATGGACTGACATGTAGGTGCAGAGGGAAGGGGAGGAGAAGGCAGGGCCTGTCTGCACGAATTTCCTTTCACCATAGTATCTTTTCCTTCAATAAAAGCTTCGCTGGTTTTCCATTGCTAACCCTATTCCGTGATCAGTGACTGAGAAATGGACCATAATAAAATACTCCAGAGCTCCAAGATACAGCAAAGAGGAAAAAAGATACAGCAACATCATCAGCAGAACAAGGGGATAGCCAGTGCATTTTAAAGGCAACAAATCTATGTCTGATAAGAGGGGAATGTAGTCTCCATAATACATAATTAACCTGTGGAACTCACTGCCACAAGATATTGAGGTCGAGAGTCTAGCAGGATTCAACCTTCTTATGAATAATTAAGCTATCCAGTCACCCTGGGTAAGGACAGAATTATGTCCAAGGGGTTCAAAGCATAGAATCAGCCACGAAGTGATGAGAGTTAGGAATAAGCTGCCCATATGGTTATGCTATTTCAAAATTGTCCATAATGGGGTTTCTTGCACCTTTTTCTGAAGCATCTGGTATTGGCCACTGTCTGACAGGCTCCCTGGCTAGATGGACAGTTTATTTGACTCAGTATGCTGATTCCCATGTTCCTATCTAGATGGATGTCTCAATGGAGTGGGGAAGAATATGGACGGAGATGGAGGTACAGAGGGAAGGGAAGGAGAAGCCAGGGGCTATCTGCTCACTTGTGGGCCAATAATGCGGGATGCGGCATTTAAACACCATGTGCTCATGTCAGAATAGTTGTGTCTCATTTCCTACCTCTGCTGCCACCATTGATCCCTGCAGAGGAAGCCAAGTCTTGATCATTTTCCCCAGTCCCTCAATATTGTTGGAGTTCCCCCAAAACCTCTTCCATTTAGTTCCCCCAAGAACTCAGTCCGACTCCTATGTCGTCCCTCAGGTTCCTTTATTTGATATATAGCAAATCTACCTTATCTCACTGGGGGCCGTCAGCAGTTGAAGTAGGATCAGGGCCGGCTCTGGATTTTTTGCCGCCCTAAGCAAAAAAAGCCACCCGCCGCCCCCCCCCCAGCGCGGCGGGGGAAGGCGCCGAGTCCAGGTGCGGGCCCGCAATCCCCGACCGGCCGGAGCGCCGGAGAGAGGGCGGAGAGCCCCCGGCGGCCAGAGCACCAGGGGGGAGGGCGGAGAGCCCGGCCGGGGCTCTCCTGTCTCCCCAGCGGCCGGAGCGCCGCGGGGAGGGCGGCGAGCCCAGTCGCGGCCCCGCTCTCGGGCCGGAGCGCCCCGCCACGCCGCCCCCCTCCAGGCGCCGCCCCAAGCACATGCTTGGTGGGCTGGTGCCTGGAGCCGGCCCTGAGTAGGATACAGAATTACAGCTACTGTGTTAAAACAACACAACACCACCCCACCTTTCTCCGCTTGCAGTGGCCTAGCTAGTACTCACGTCACGGAGCTTTAATAGCCCAGCCACCAGGAAGGCAGGTGCTGGCTCCAACAGGAAATCAATAAACAAGGGCTCGGTAATACAGCTCTGTCTGCTTTCATTTGCAGCTGTTCCTACCTCACCACCGACAACACCAGAAAAGGACCTGACTGTTGCCACCTCCCCATGGACTGTTCTTGCCGGGTGAGTGCCCAAATTCATGCTAGAGGCACTGTGAGGTCTCCTTTCACCAACTCTAGGGCAGGTTTGGAGTTTCTACACTGTGCTCGAAGTCCAGGCTACAATCCCTACAGAGGCCAAGGCTTTAAGTCAAACTCACGCAGCACAGAGTATTCCAGAACTCTCAGGTCTCTGCACACCAGAGGCATTGAAGAAAAGGATTTGTAGCTGAGTTTACAAGTTGAGATGGGGCATTTATCATCTAAGTCAGAGCCAGACAGTCCTGCTGTTATACAGTCCTTCCTTCTCCTGCAAACTATTTTCTGCTCTGGAAGATGAATTCTATTGCATTATATTGTATTAAACCCACACTTGCAAACAAAAAGAAAGCAAAAAACACCCCCCCCACACTCACCACTCTGCCAGCCTGACATGGTCCAGTTCTAAAGTACTAGCACTGCATTTCCCCTCACATCTGACCTGCAGGACTCTTGCTATTCTATTGGGCTTTCCAGTCAGCAGGGCCGGTGCTACCATTTAGGCAAACTAGGCGGCTGCCTAGGGCGCCAAGATTTGGGGGCGCCAAAAAGCAGTGCCCCCAATTTTTTTTTACAGCGTTCCTACGCCCTCTCCCCGAGCGCGCGGTCGCCGCTCCACTTCTCCCGCCTCCCAGGCTTGCAGTGCCAATCAGCTGTTTGCAGTGAAAGTTTCTAATTGAATAACAACATCTAACACTTTTTCTCCACAGATCTCCAACCATTTCGCAAAGGAGGTCAGTATCATTAACACCATTTTATAGATGGGGAATGTGAGGCTCGGGAGGTGACATGCCCTGCTCTTTGT